TTTTTTTTTTTTAATATTGATTTTTTTTTTGGACAAAGCTAAGTTTTCTCAGTCTTTAAGATTCATATGATGCCAAAAATAGAAATGATTGAAAATCWGGAATACAGCATTGAGTAAAGTATAAGATGATATTCTGGGGAAATATTGAATCTGGGTATAGGAATAAGTTGCTTCTTATGGAAGGGCATATGTTTTAATTTTTTCACAATAGCTGATCCTTGTTCTACAAAGAGCATTTTTGGTTTTTATTGTGTTTTTTTCCTTYCTCCCCACCCCATAAGCAATGATCAAATTATACTCTGGCATTTTCAGGGTAGCTGAGTAACTGAGCCATTGCAAGTATGTGCATGCAAACGATTTCTGAAGCATTTYTCTTGTAAAGCTCCATCTTATTAGCTACTGATACTTCGTTTTTTTGGTAAAAGAAGGTGAAATGTTAAACTTGAGATTTGAAATGTATATATGACTAATAAAAGTGCCTCTTTTTAGCATATTGTCTCTCACTAGYGGTGCAGCTGATGTCAGATCCAAAGTTGGTTTCCATTTTGTTTGTATGACCCACACGACTCCTTTAAAATTGATGGATAAAAATCAAACCAAAAGTTTCATAAGAAGTGAACAGTAGGCCTTTTCTCTCCTGATTGTTAAACACGGAACTGAAGCTTGACTGTCTAGCAATATGACCCATGCAGTTGGAGGATGAAGTTAGCATGTCAGAGAAAATCAGCATTTTTATAAGAACGTATAGACCTTTATGTAACAGATGTCTTGTAAACATATTTTTTGCAAGAACCTTATGCTGATGAAAAGGGATGCATGMAATTTTTTTCTAAGCTTGTACGTTGTTTCTGTTACTGCCACACTACTCCTCCCTTACCTCTGTCTTTCTCCTCTCTCCTCCAATTAATGTATAGTTTTTTGGCTTGCAGTTCCTGCATAGCTGTTTTTTTTTGAGATTCCTGCTGAGATGTGCCTGGAGGGAAACTGTAGCAAAATGGTTTTAGTTGGTTGGGTTTTTTTCCTAATATTAATAGGATGCTAAAAGACATTGTTCTTAGGTTTATGTAAAAAAAAAACAGTGATGTTTTGTGCTACAAAACAGAATCTTGCAACTGGTGAATACATTTGTAAAATTGGCATTAGATATTAAAAAGTAGTAATAGGGGAGAAAAGGTTAGCATTTATATTGCATCGTGAGCAAACTCTGCTTTTGCCTTGGGCAAGTATGTTTGCGAGGTTAATTATAGGAAAGAATTAGTACTCTTGGGTAAAGTATGCTGCATTTTATAGTTTATGGAATAACCTCTAAGGCATGAGCTAGTATTTAGTRTGATTGTTGATGCTGACCTGAAAGCAGAGAAAGATCTGTTACCAGTCCTTAATATTTTGCGCTCAAAGATGGACTGAGAACTTTTAATTTCACTCCTGAAGAAACTATTTATACTGTGACCAGTAAAGGTTTTGCCTTGCACATTATACTGTCAAGTGCCTGTTTCTCACCTTGATGATGTGTTTGATGCACAGCTTAACTGCAACCTTTTTCAATTTGTTTTTAGATGTTTCATAAAGAATATGCTCACAAATCTGAAGCCTATTATAAAACAAATTGCATCCAAGTGGGAAATTGAGATATATAAAATTCCAATTTCATTCCTAGTGATGAAAGWTTTGGTGTGCTTTTTAAGGGATATTTCCTCAGAAATAACCATTTTAAGGATCAACAYTATTAAATTTATTATAATTTATTGTTATGCTTTAATAATGTATTTGTCTGTTGAGAACTCACTGGTGTGAGCTTCCCTTCTCTCATGTTTATAAATGTGTCTGAATTTTCAGAATGGTGTCCTTTCATCTTTAACCTTCGTTAGATGCTTAACTACATTATATGTTTATGAGCTTAAGCTATACATAGCTCCATATGTGGAATAAGTGTAGAACATGTCCCTTAATATTTGTTTTGGAATTGCATTTCCGTCTATGTGAAATGTTTTAGAAGAAGGTAGCATTAAGATTGTATGATAAGATTGCACAAAATAAAATATAGTTTATATTGCTTTCTCGTAGCCAATCTGCATGATTGTTGGCGTGGTTTTAACGGGAATTAAAAGCTTCATGTGGCTGTTCCTAGTCACTCAGCTCTGAGCAAAGTTCTTTCTGAGTATTTTTATTTATTAGCATCATTTGCAAAAAAGAAAAGTAGTATTTTCCATATGAATAAAGATTTAGTTTGAACTGAAATGCCTTATTCTTTGACTTTTTTGGTCCCATTTTATTTGTCATATGAATATGTTTCCATTTGCTTGGGCAGTTTTGGGCACCACAATATAAGAAAGAAAATTAAACTATTAGAAAGTGTCCAGTGAAAGGCAWTGAGGATGGTGGAGGGCCTTGAGGGGAAGCTGTGTGAGGAGTGGCTGAGGKCACTTGGTCTGTTCAGCCTGGGGAATTAGGCTGGGGAAGAGACTGAGGGGAGACCTCAGTGCAGGAGACCTCCTTGTGAGGGGAAGAGGAGGGGCAGAACTGATCTCTTSTCTGGTGGTGTCAAGACCTGAGGGAATGGCCTGAAGTTGTGTCAGGGTTGAGTATTAGAAAAATGTTCTTCACCCAGAGAGTGGTTTGGGCTCCCCAGGGAAGCGGTTACAACACCAAATCTGACAGAGCTCAAGAAGGGTACAGACAATGCTCTCATGCACATGGTGTGACTCTTGGGGACAATGCTGTGCAGGGCAGGAGTTGGACTCAATGATCCTTGGGGTTCCCTTCCAACTCAGCTGATTCTGTGATTCTGTGACATTACTTGCATCRTTGTAGAGCACAGCCAAGGACGTGATAGCAATGTCTGCCTAAACTCTGTGAATCATGCCATCTCAGAAGGTGCAGCATCCTAGATTTAAAGCATCACACACTGCTTTTACATTGGTTTCAACAAACTAAAAATATTTTGCTTCATTGGTTTTTATTTGTTTTAAATGTTGTGTTTTGTGTTTTTTTTAACTTATTAGCTGTTGTGAAAGCTTGGGCAGAGCAGCATTCTATCCCTGAAGGTTTCAGCAGCTACATGTAAAGTGGAGGGCCTGAAATGCTTTTGCACACACTGGCCCCATGACACGCTGAGACCTRCACAGCCTGGCCTGCGACTCAGGAGGAGCAGCTGCAGAAGGATGTGCATTGTCAGCCCCTCGTTCTTCCACTCATCTGCTGGCTTTGTGGTTTTCTACACAGACTTAGCAGGGAACATTTGGGCAAAATGTTTCTTACTGTAGTGCATGAAGTACCTAAAGCAGAAAATTTTATTCATGCAAATTATATTCTTAGTGAGGAAAAAAAGGCTGTATTGAGATGCCTCTGACTAGACACAGGTGGGTCAGATGCACATCTAGGCAGGTGAGAGTAAGTGGAAGGACCTGCATTTCTAGACCCTGGGTAGATGAGGACCCTGTCAAATTTTGAGCAAAGATGTTCCCATAGCCAAAGTGAATTCAACTGGGCATCTGTCTCAATTTCCAAAACTTTTCAAAATGCTTGTTATTGTATGGGAATCTTGGATGGCCAAAATGTAGATCCTGTGAAATCTGAAAACATGATTGTTCATGTTATTTATTGTTTCTTGCGTATTTAAACTGTTCTTTCTAATTTTGTTTTTTTTTGTTTTTTTTTTTCGTTTGATTGTTTTCCTCTGAGTGCCTGCTACTTTATTTCTGATGTATCTGGGAAATAAAACCAGAAAAGTAATTTCCTAAAAGCTTACTACCAGTGATAGCTGGCAAAGGTGTGTATCATTAGATGTCTGTGAACCTCAAAAATTTCTTGTAGCATGACTGCTTTGTAACATACAAGACAGGGAATCAATATAGGCAAAGAAACCAGTGTAGAAATCAAAAGGAGAGAATTACATTTATTGTGTCACCAGCATAATAACATAAAATAATGCTGCCTCTATAGTTACAAGGAAATAAAAAGTATGAAAACAGTAAAAAAATAGGGATATAAATAACAGAAATTTATACAAAATATGTAATAGTAAACAAAGTGTAGGGAGATGATATCTACCAACTGTTACAACTTGGAATGAAAAAAGAAATACCTGGTCTATACTTGGGAAGAAATTTTTCCTTTTCTGTGTCTGGCTATTACTAAAAGATGCAAGGAAGTGAATATATTCTTTTCAAGTCAGTAAGAATCTGGTAAAAGCTTGGCTGCCATTTGAATGTTCATGCTCTTGAGACCCATATGACACTAGTGAAAGCTTAATAACACATTTTGAACTGTGAGTTTGCTATTGGAAAGAAAAACTATTATTCTCTGCATAGAGAAGTGCATAGCTATGTTTTCTAAGATTGGTTTGTCCACTACTGAAAATAATTATGTGATATTTTGCTTTCTTGTTGCTCCTGCCTCTTTTACTAAAGAGACTKAACAGTAGAGTTTAAGTAACTTTTCAGAGAATTGTCTGGTGTAATTATTTGAGATTTTGTAGTAAAATAGATGAGATTTGATACACAAACACTCCTATAAGTTAGCAATGTCTTTTGGCCTTTCTTATCTTGCATCTTTTTTCCTTGAAACCCCCAAATGCTATTGTCTTGGCAGTCTTGTTTGTCCAGGAATTTCGGATTCTCCATGAGGTTATACTGCTCAATGCTTCTGGTATTTGAGGGACAGAGGAAACAGAGTGGTGTATGTTTGTGGTGGGGAAAGGAAGGGAGACCAATAGATCCTGACACCAAGTACTGTACTTGGCATATTATTTTTTTTCTGCTAAAGCTTTCTAATGTGCAAGATTATTGATATTAGTTATTCTTTGATTTATTTTTGCACTTTTGGACTATTAACTTTTTTTTTTTGGGGGGGCAAAAACATCCTGATTACATGAAGACCTCCTCTTTGCTGTTTCTCTCATGACCAACAT